GCGGCGCCGGCGGCCCAGGGGGTCGCGGCCGAGGCGGACCCGGAGCTGACGGAGGTGCCGGAGGGCCCGGTGGCCGAGGCGGTGGAAAGGCCATGGCTGAGGCGCACCGCACTTTGGCGGTGGTGAACTATGGTGTGATGGACAAAGCCAAATATTGGGCTGTGACCTGCTTGGGGGGTACGAAGAAAGGAAGACTGTGGATCACTTTTGTTGTGGCGGTTCAAAAGGCAACGGGGCCCCAATCGTGAAATATCACCACATCTCTCCTTGTCTTCGACTGATTTGGAAGAACATGCAAAATCATTCGACAGGCTTTAAGCAATTTCATTCGAGGAATCTATTTATGCAACGATAACTTGAGCAATATTTGGAACAGGCTAGGCAACTACGGGAATCAGGCGAAGATGGGTGAAGACGGTGAAGGGTTTGGATCTGCAAAGCGCTTCTACAACCAAACACCGTTTCTACTCTCAGTAACGATTGTCTGTCCCTTCCGCAAAGACTTCAAAGACTCGTTTTGATTTTTTGAGAAGTGCCTTTCCAACACCAAGCAGCCCATGGTATTTATCTTGCCTGGGAGCCCCACCGCACCGACCTACGAGACGCTTCCCGCCGACCCGAGCGGAGCCTCCAGTTGGCCGAAGTGTGACTGGAAGGGTTGCAGGATCTTCATGGCACCATCCTGCACCGAGACGAGGAGGAGACCACAATGCTGAGAGTCTTTCCACAAAAAACAAATAAAACATGCAAAAAAAAGGAGCTAAGTTCCAAGTCGTCTTGATTGATTCCAACTTTGGGAAAGCGAAACTGAAGCGTTCCAGAAGTCGAGATCGTCCAGCCTCGTCGATGCTGGCTGGCACAAAGACCAAGACATTCTGCAGCTCTGGCATCGTGCTGAAGGTCGTCCGCAGGATCTGCCAACATAGCTGACACAGAAGACACACACACAGGTGAGCTAGAAAGGCTATCAAACTGGAACCCTATGAAGAGAGGAACACATAGAAGGTTTGGTATTCTAAGGAAGAAAACAAGAAATATGGTCTAAAGGCCTAAAATTGCCTAAAGGACAAATAACACCAACGTAAAGCAGAATAATACCGTATCCTTTTCCTTATGAAAAAGGACACCTCAAGCCTCAAGCAAAGGAAACGCATCTTATCTTCATTGAGGCATCAAGTGGCCAGGCTTTTACATCGCTAAATAGGATCACCCCCCCGCTCAAGTGATGACTTTGGCATGTTCAAAGCGGCTTGTTGGTCCACTGATAATGAATAAACAGGCTCCCTCTTCCTTTGAAAGTGTGCCTTGTTCTGAAGCCTCATGTATGTTTCATGTGTTGCTTCCAACTTTTGGACCTTTTCCTTTTTTGAGTCTTCCGTCTTCCTTTCCTTTATCCTCACTTAGGCTACTGGATTACTCCGCGGTTTTCACCTAGAAAGGAAGCCGTCTGTGAATCTACTTTGAGCTCGATAGATACGTTTCAAACATGTCGGCACCAATGCGTCTTGCAGCATCCCTCAAGCTTTGGAGGTGTGTGTCGTCTTTGCTTCGTATGTTCACACTGAACCATTGATTGATCTTACGACTCAAGGTTCGTTGCTTGCTGTGTTTTCTCCATCCCACTTCATCTGAGCCTCTGCCATGATGGTATTGTCCCCTTCCATCAGACAGGTCGAGAACCTCATGACATCTTGCTGGAGCTTCCATCAGAGGTTCGACATGTCACAACATCCTTCAAGACATCGTCATCTTCAACTTGGAACACTCTCAACCCATGAGAAGGCGTATCCAATTGAGCAAGTGAGAGAACAATTGAGTCGACAAGTCAACTTCTGAGATTCCAGGATTTCCAAGATGTTACCTGTGGACATCTCGTCCCTCAGCCCTGGACCACAAGGAGTTGGTGCTATCAATCTGTAGATTTTGAAAAGTCTCCTGTCGCGATCAAGTCCGAATGTATGCTTGAAGCAAATTACAAGGAAACCACATGGGACGGATGAGAAGTTGTTAAGTTTCCCCAAAAATCTAGGAACCTATCCTGCATCCAGTAGGTAGTAGCTTAAGTGTAGCTTCTTCCTTATCTAATTAAGTAGCGCCTACTTAATTAAGTAGGAGCGGACTTCAAAAGAACATGTCTGTTGCTTCATCCCTTTCTGTACATCCCGGGGCTCCTGAAACCACTCCTCCCAGTCGGTGCCCGCATCTTCCGTGGCGCTCAATTGGAGCGGAGTGTCCTGAGCCAAAAGAGCCAAAGTCCGAGAGAGGTCCATCCCAGAGTCGAGAAGAACGAATATACCGACCGTTGAACTTTGTTTGTTTGTTCGTTCGTTTGTTTTCTAAGAACACAATAACATATCACAACACCAACAACAAATACAGAATGGACCTGGGACCTTCTGTGTGATCTGGACTGGATCTTTTCTTTTGGCATGGTTGATTGAAGCTTCAAGAAAACTTCAGACTTTTGCTCAACAGCCAATAACCACCGTGCCCAAATGTGAATGGCAAAAGGGACCAAACGAACCAATACAAAGAATGGTTGTGCCATGTTGTTGCCAGACATTTGCTTTGCACCTGCAAGAACCGCTGGAAAGTATGGGGTTTCCAAGGTGGGTCAATGCCCGAGTTCCATGGCCGATGTTTCTCTGAGCTTCCCGACATCTAAGACTGCAAAGCCCACCACGTGGCCTTCCTCGTCCTCCACGGTGACCGACATGAAGGAGGTCCTTTTTCACGAGCGCGTTTTTCTTTCTTGGGCCAAACGAACAGTACGCTGGAGAGTCGTCTCAAACTTCTTAAACAAGCGACCCACATCGCGACAGATCGTCTAAGGTCCCAAATTGACGGCGATCAGCTATCACATGCTATCACAACTTTCCCCAGCATTGTCTAGCTCGCATGAAGGGAACTTCTGACCTCTCCCTCTGAGCTCCATGCTCGATCATCGAGAGGAGGAACTTCGTTCTGAGCTCCAGCCTCTGAAGAATACCTGCAGGACGATCTGAGACCATTTCCATCTGGACAGGATTGGACCAAACACGGAAGCTACTAGGAACAAGTGCATCGCTACTAGTAACAAGTGCCTTACTAGTAGTAACAAGAAGCTATTAGAAACAATAAGCTAGTGGAACCCAGCGAGAAGTGTCGGAGAGCGTCCAAGCACCGGTGCCATAGTCCACCTGAACGCTTCGGTCCAGCCTCGATCCACGGCATGGAAGTAGGCCATGGTTTCCATGTAGCCCTCATCCGGATAGATGCGCTCGAACCTGAATCCCAGAGTTAGACAGACTTGTCAAAGCCTCAAGAGGTCAAGGTCGAGGTTCTCTTAGCTCCCAATGGCCCCCAACCTATTAGCAATGGCCTCCAACCTGAGAGCGATGGCCTCCAACCTACCAGCAATGGCCTCCAACAAATGCAGGTTTGGCCGCTCTTTCTGTGATGCTGTGCTTCCTGAGTCTGTGGCAACGCATTGAGGGTGTCGATGTCGTCGGGGTCAGCCCTCCTTGTGATGCAACAGAGTGTGACCCCAAAGTTTTCAATGACATGGGATGGAATGGGATCTAGAGAGGGTTCAGTCTTGCTACGGGGATGTTGTAGGCAAGCAATATCTCCAGCATTCTCCATCACTTGCAATATGCCTTCTGCATCCTCCTGTATGTCTCTTGCAGCGATACAAACGGCAGGCTCCTTACGAAGAATCCGGGCTCCGTTGCCATCTGCTTTTCATGCGGCCACGGCACTATTGAGGCCCCTTCCGTTTTGAAGCTGTCTGAGTGCTGCGATCAAGGAATCAACCTCAATCTCATCTTCCACAAACGCTCTCAGTTGAGCGGCATTTGTTTTCCAGACTGTTCCCTGTGCCCGCCTTCCAAAGACCAGCTTCGGGTCCAACCCTCTTTCTCCAGAGAAGCTCCGGCACCAACTTCTAACTATTTGCCCATTTTGGGCATATTGAGCCCTTGATTCCAAGTGCATCCCCGAAGAGCCAGTTGAGCCAGTTTTCTCGTTCCTTCAAGTGAGTGGCTTGATTCAAGCAGGTGGAAGGATGGGCCAGGGCCAGGGTGGTCTTGCACTCTATCCACTGTACCCTCCAAGATCGCCTTAACTGGCGAAACTCACTTTGAACGACTGGCCACGCCTCGACCTCCTAGTATGATGGAAGGAACCTAAAATTGTTTTTGATTGAGCACCATGTGGAATTTTCAACAGAAGTCAGATTCCAAAGTCCGTCATCTCTCGAACTCAACACATGCTCTCCGGGATGGCCATGATGGAACCTTGGGCTCAAATTGAGCTCTAAGATATGTTGAATCTAATTAGGCCTGACGATTTCGCCAGCCCAAAAAGGAGCTTCCTACCATGGAAGCTGATCAGTTCTTCCTCCACAAGTTTGTGCCATGTGAGGAGATGTGTTGTGATCAGTTTCCACCGACAATCACTGTACAAAGATCCCTTCACGCACCTGAGGTGGAAGTCAGCATCTGCAGCATGACCAATAGAAGCACGTTTGTTGTTCCAACGTGTTCCACCACAAAAAGGACTCCAAGATACTCCAAGCAAAAGCCGCAGCTTCGGAGTTTCAAGCCGTTTTGAGGGTTCGTCCCCTCACAGCTGGGGCCTCAGTGCTCTTTCGTCATCCAGCGTGCCTGACCAAAGCAGAACGGGCCAGTGTGGCAATCTGGGAAAATTCTGTGTGGGTCTTGTGGGCCAACTGCAAGCGGTTAAACTTCAATTGGGGAGTTGGATTCAACGTGCTTGTCACTTGAAGACACTCTCACCATCCAGATCCGAAAAACATCTTGCTATCAGCCACCTTTCTTGTGAGGGTCCATTTCCAAAGGCCCTCAGTAACACGTCTTCAAGAACACTCAAGGCCCCCCAAATATCGTTCTCTAACCTTCGAAGCAAGGCACAAAGCAAAGCCCTCTAATTTTTGGCAGGCCTAAGATGGCCTTTCATTCCCCATGAGGTCCTCGCAACAAGGAAACGATGGCCATCGATGGCCTGTGGCTCGCACTCTGGCACCAGTGGCCTGGCGCTGCTTGAGCCCTTCTGGTCTCGGGTAAGCCGTCTTCCGTCTTCCTAAAGCCGTCTGCTCACTTGCCGAGTTTTTTGCCCTTGTACTATCCCTTGTAGCGCTTGTAGCAGGCATCAAGACTACTTGAGACATCTTGAACTCTGAGAGCCTCACTCTTCTTATAGTACTTCAATAGCGCCTATCATATCTGTCACCTGGTCTGTTGGTCTCGCTGTCCTTGCCTCGCTCGTTCTCGCCGGCCATGCCGTCGGGGCGCAAAGGCGCTCTTCCTCGTAGAATGAGTTAATAAACAGAATGAACTATAGGGAATGCATCCAAACAAGACTCTTACCCCTTCTACGAGTTTCATCATGTTTCTACTTGTTTTTTTTCGAGTCTCCCTTTTTGCCATCGGGCTCATCTTGAGCCGGTTGATGGAACCGGTCTTCCCCAATTCTTGGGTATCCCAGGATCGAAGTGGTTCGCTCATCACGGTCCCCTCTTAGTGTATCGCACCTCTGGGCCTTTGCGATCCTTGAACGAGAACAATGAACCCAATGACTTGCGCTATGTGCCATGATACACATATGAAACCACTAACACATCCTCTCAAAAACCACCCCTGAGACTGGTACGGGCGGCTGGGTGGCATCACGGTACCTCCTGCAGGCTCCGGAGTCTAATTAAACCACTTGCAGGAAGATGAAGGAGCCCAGGCTTCCCGCAAAGCACCGCGACGTGATGCTTTTGACTTCAACGAACATGTCCAAGACCTTGTTGATTTCTCATCTGCCGAGAACATGGCCACGCACATTGCGACCCTTTTGGGCGAAAGCGGCGAAGCCATGCGCGGAGACATTTGCTCCTGTGGTT